TTAAAATTTTTATATTGAAAAATTTTAGGAATTAGATAGTAGTAAATAGATTGCTGTAGTAAATATATTGTTAGATAGAATGATTAGAATAGTATTGCTGTTTTAGAAAATAGGATATATTTGCAAATGCATGCTTAATAATGCTTGGTAATGCTTGTTAATGATGATTGATTTTGAATGTAGTGATGATTAATAAGATAAGTACAATTCTCTGTGAAATACATTTCACTTTTTTTTTTTTTTGCTTTTAATCTTCGTAATATATTAATATTTTATATATATTTATACTCATAATAATATAAAATATTAATATATGAAGTAATGTATTTGTATTTCATGTAGAGTTGTATACAATTAAGATTTAATTCAATTTTTACTTGCAGCTTTAGTTTTTCGGTTTTCCTTGAGATTCCTTTTGCTGTTTGTTATGTACAACGTTCATAGATTGAACGTTTTGCATATTTACATCAAAAGGAGTATTTATCATTGATTTTAAATAATTTTTTGCATATTGGAGGGTGGATGGGACCGTGCGGTTAGGGTGGGTCTCCAATTCGCAGCAACCTCCAAGTTGGTGAGACCTGGAAATCATTATTATTTACTACATAATTTATTTTTGTATACTTGATACAAGTATAAATTTTATAGTAAGTAATATGAGCTAATTGGCTGCGTTCGCGATTCCAATTTTTAAGTGTTTATGTATTAAGATATTATAACAAATTCTGTTTTTTTTTTATATATATTTTAGAATTTTAGTTTTCCGAAATTCTATTACAAAGATAATTTGGAACTTATTTGTTTTGTCTTCTTAACGAATATTGTAATTTGCTAGGAAAAAATTATTTCTTTACATAATTCGTTATACTGTATTTTTTCAATAATAAAAAAATAAGATAATTAATATTTCGTTTTATTCTTGAATATAATTGAATTTCTATTTTTTGTGTGTTGCGTTTGTTGTGAATATTTATATTGAATTGTAACATAGAAAAATCTTTTTGTTTTTGTACATTATACTTGTTTTAGTAGTCTTATTTTTTGCGGAATCGCTTAGATTAGAATTCTTCGTAGACTGTCATGAGATTAATCTGTTTTTTATATTATTTTCGTTTATAATAACTTGTGATATCGAATAATCTGACAGCAATCAAAATTTTATCAATGGTACATTTAGGTCTTTTTTAAGTATCTTTTTTTATCAATATTGGTAGTAATATGAAATAAATATGAAATTATATTATTAGGAATATGAATTCTCTTCTTTTTTATTTAAATTAATTAATATTGAATTTTATAGTTCAGTAAAATATAATTTATTGTTAATTTTCATTTATTTAGTATTAATTTGAATGTTTTTCATAGCTTAAGACAACTTTGCATGCCAGTTCATCATTTAATCATCATGGGCATCGCGTTTTTGCATTAGTGTTGCGATAAATAAATTACGAATTATTTGAATTAGAATTGCATATATAAATCTCCCGTTTTGAATTAATATTTAATGATTATTGTGTTTGTTATTGTGGTGCATTGTAAAAAAATATCGCGATTGCTTTTAAATATTTTGATTATGAATTAGTCTATTTTTTATTCATATTATTATTATTTTTTAAATTTATTTTGTAATGTAATTTGTAATATCGAGATATTTGAAATACTTTTTATTTATAACTTTTCATTTATAGAATTATCTCTTTATCTTGCTTTGTCTAAACTTTATTTGTAGTTTATAGTATAGTTATAAGCTTCAATCGATTTTATCAATTTTATTTGATATATAGAATCGATGTTTTAAATATCTCAATATATATTTGTATTTAAAAAATTTTTTCGTAGATATAATAGGAATCTACATTATCAATTGTTGATATAAATATATTTTTCGAATTAATCATTTATTCGAACTTGTATATTTTAAAAATATATATTTTTGTTTTGATATGATTAGAATCGATTTTTCAAATATCTCATAAATATATTAATATATTTGTATATTTAAAAAAGAAATTTCTTAGAAATCTACGTTACCAATTGTTGATATAGGTGTATTTTTCGAATTATTGTTTGTTTAAATTCGTATATTTTAAAAACATTTTTTTATTTATCAAAACATGTCAAATTATATAAATAATTGTTTATCATGATCAAATTTTCATCTATTCAATGTATCTTATCTTCTATTTTCGTCATATGTATATAAAAGATCAAGTTTGGAAAGTGGTGCCCTCTGTTTCAAACAGTTTGGAATATTGTCAGCGAGCAGGCGCTGGACCGCTTTCTGAGGCTGCGTGTGGGATAAAGAGCGAAAGACAGAGAAAGATCGCGATTCAAACTCGAAATCTAACGAGGAACTCTCAGAGCCACGCGAGTGGCCGCGCGATACGGCACGGGTGTTTGAAAACGGCCGATAACAGTGTGCATCGCGCCATGTGTACGAAGAAAAGTGCGAATTTGCTGTGGCTTCTTTATTCCATATTGTTCATTTGTGGATTTGTTCTGCCATACGGTGAGTAAATGGATTATATTCGTAAAAATATCAACAACTTTGGGGATTGTCATTAAAAAATTATACAAATTAACTAGTAATAAAAAAAATGATCTATAAAATGTTAATACAATTTACAGTGAATATGCATTACGTTTTAATTTATGAAATTAATTTATGAAAATAGTGAATTCATATTCTTGAATTCCGAGAATGAATATGGAATTTGGAAATGATATGAAGAAAATACAAAATTTATTACATAGCTAATATATACAAAAAATTATTATAGCTAATAATATTTAAATACACTCTACTAAGATGAGATTTATATAGTTAGGATTAATATGTTTCAATCAGTTTAAAAATAGAGTAAAAATATAAAATAAATATCTTTGGTTATGAAAGGATCTTATATTTTAATAAATTTTTGTTTATATTTTTATTACATAACAAGAAATATATAATAATCGTGTATCCAATAAGTATGTGATTTAATGTAATGATAATAGTATTTAATTATGAAAGAATATAGTATATTTTATTCATTTCTTCACATCAATGCAATGCATTTATGTTTTCAAACGTTCTGTTTTCGAAGAGATTTTGTTTTTAAAATCATTATAGTACTCGAATTTTTGCCATTCATTGAAAGAAATCTGAATAACAGAGTATTATTCGAATGATCATTGAGAAACTGGTTCGTCGATATGTCGTGATCAACCATGTATTTACATATATAAAAGATGTATCGATACTTTTATTTTTAATATCAGATATTTGTTAAAAATAAAACTTTATAGAACAGTAAGAAATAATTGTTATTATATACAGCTTTTACACATATTATACTTTGAATATCTTATTTTTATTATAACTTTTTCGTGTTATATACGTGAATACGAATCGAATTCATTTTTTCTTACATAATATATTTATTAAAAAATTTTCAATATGTGTTATTATAAACTTATATAAATCTGATATTTAATTTCAATTAATTGTAAATTGATTAAAACTTTTTTTATTTTTCATTATTAAGATTATTAAGATTATTAAGATTTTTTAATCGAATATTAAAAAAATATATATAAAAATATTCAAAATATAAATTTTTTAAAAATTTCAATACGTGATATTGAAATGAAAGTATCGATATGTTTGATATATGGAAAAAAATTTGATTAATTATTCCAATAATTATGAAAATGAAATAACATTAATAATGCAATACATTGACTGGTCTTGGGGGGTGGGTTTTAAGTAGAATTCAATTCAATTGCTTGCCTTTTAGAATTAGTACTTAAAGTTCGATTCTTCAAGAGATAATTAATAAAATAGAAAAAAAATAATTAAATTACAATTCGATTTTTCGATTGTTATTTAAAAAGAAATCATTTAGAGTTATATCTAGAATTAGGATAAGAATCATGATAATATTTTATTAAAATATATTAATAAATAAATAAATAAAAAAATTTTTCCAATCAGGATGCATTAACATTTATTACAGTTTTGCGATAAATATTAAATATATATAAATCATGCTAATAAATATTCAATTGATATAATTTTATATATAATTCGTAATTTTATTACTTAATATAATATCTATTAAAATAACGATCGCTTAAAAATGATTTAACTTTTTAAATTTTTTATTAATTAGGAGATATCTATATATTTTTGCATCGTGATTATGGAATAAAATTTTCTTCTTTTTTTTTTTCACCGTCTTTTGCTGTTGTAACAGAAATAAATCTTTAGCAATGCTAGAATGATTTTTTGACGAAGCGATGCATTTGTGTTAAAGAGAATGCGTTTCAAAAGAGATATTCACCGAGGTCGGAACGTTTTATTACTTTAACCGTTTATTTTCCGCTCCTTTGCTTGTCAACGTCGTTTATGCCGTTGTGAGAAATCAAATTTGTGCAAAAGAATTTTGATATTCACCGGAAACTGGCTTACGTCGGATACTCATGATGTTTATTATTGTTAGAACATTCTTTCGATATGTATCACGTTTGAATTTAATCGAATTTAGATAGTGCGAAAATAGTTTCTCTAAAAGTATCGATGTAAATTAGCAAAATTATTTTTTAAAAATGAAACAAATTATTTTAATTTTTCAATTTTAATTAATTACGTAATCGTTGGAATTTTTATTTTAAATACAGTTGAAAACAGTTCGTATAACAGGTTCTAGGCATAAATATTTTCTAAAATTTTTTTAAGAAAACGTATAATTTAGTATTCGATAATATAGTAATTAGTTATTTAGTTTCAGTTATTTTATTTTTAATATCTAATTATAACAAGAAATGTGCCTTTGAAAACACAACGACTTTTGAATTTTTCAATATCAGTTTACAGTTCTCTAGAAAGAAGTTGTAGTACGATGAATCCCTCATTTTAAATTAAATTCATGCCAGTAATTTTTAATATAGAAAATGACATTATAAAGTATAATCAACATTTGAGAAGTTAGAATAGAAATCCAATATTAAACTATTAAATTCTAAATCTTGTCAGTATATGTTTAGATTATAAAAAAAAGACTTGAGGATAAATTTCATATAATAATTGCGCAACAAAGGAAATTTAAAATGGTATCAATTTAAATTCTTTTTTATAAATTATATTTTATGTCACAATGTGAAACGTTTATTTCTTAGATCGATGAGTCTAAAATCTAGAATCTATCGTTGCAAAATTTTTATAAATTATTTAGATTAAAATTATCCTTTTTTTCGATCATAAAATTTCGAATCATAAAAATAATGCAAAGTTTCAAGATTCGAGAACCCGGTATTTCCTAAGTTTCGAAATTTTTGAAACTTATGTCGAGTTTTCCAATATCCCACGAAGTACAACATCGTCATAAGGAGTGCATCGCGCATAAATCACCGACGAACGGAAAGATTTCGCGGAATCTCGGCGTGACGCGTAAATTCTGGGATCGCGTGCGCGGTACAGAATGATCGAGACGGACTGCTCAATCGCAGCAACATACGTATATAACCTCCCCCGTTGAAATGTCGCAAATTGTACGGCAATCATCTTGTCAAGCTGTTCAACCGTTCGCACGCGCGTTCGTCTAATATGAATTCCTCGGAGGCTCGGATGACCTTCTCTTCTCTACTGGCCCCTGCCAGATGCAACAACAATGACTCCCTTTGGTATATTACGTACTCTGATACGTGGCAATCGACCAATGAAATTCCCTGCAAAATGTACTCGGGATTATATTTTATCGGTCTCTGGACGCCGCGAAATACGCTGGAACCAAGTTATTTTATACAGTTTCGCCATGCATTCGCACCATCTTTTATGGAAAATATCTCCGGTGGTTGTAAACGCCTTGTATCGGGACAAGAATTTCACCCAAAGAATCTAATCGAAGGGACACGTTATCTCTTCGTACCATGAAAATCCTCGCTATCACCGTTTTCGCTTACGATCGTGGATAATCGTGCTTTAAGGATCGTTTCGTTGGATTCTTTTCACGAAAATCGGAAGATACGGGTTTCGTCTTTTAAGGGAAATTGTGCGGGTAATTGAGAGGAATAATTTTGAATTTCGAATATTATTTATATTAGTTTTATGGAGATTTGGTTTTGTGTATGCATAGCATAGGAATAAAATTTAGGAAAAATAATTTAGGAACAGGAATTTAGGAAAAATAATTTGGTTTAGAATTAGGTGATATTTGAAACTTTGAAACTTCGAAAGTTTCATTGAAGAAAGTCTTAGGGGAGTCTTAAAGAGATTTGAAATATTTTAATACCTGTTAAACGTAATAAAGAAAAGTATGATAGAATATTTTAACTGAGAACGTTGGAATGAGTAACTATTATTAATGTTATCAATAATTCGTGGTATAGTTATTAGAAAAATAGTATAATTTTTAGTATATAAATAGCATAGGTAATACTTGTAATCTTTCTATGATCTCATATCTTTTCTTGTCACTTTGATGTGAAGGTAATATTTTATACGTTAATGTGATGTAAATTGACATCAAAAAGAAAACGCGATATTAATTATTAAATACATTGAAATATAAATATGATATAATACAATTCAATATATTAAAAAAAATCGTATGATTTAATAATAAAAAAGATATGAGATTAAATTATACATATATGTATATATATATATATATTCTTGTATTATTTTTTTTTAAGTATATAATTATAATTATAAGAATATATATATAATTATATTATTTAAAAATCTATGGTATACACGCGATACGTAAAAAGATATAAATATTCAAAGTAAATCTCATATTATGGTATTTGAAGAGTGAACGAAATAGATCTTTATTCCAATTTCATTTCCATTTTAATCGTGTTCATAAAAATTTAAATTTGCATAAACATTTGCAATCTGTTTATTTTATGCATTTATTTCAATCGTATTATTTGCTTTTATCCTCCGTTTCTATAAGAATTATAAATTGACATTCCTTTCGGAGTTTCCAAATATTTTCCTACCCTTATTCGAGCCCGACAATTAGCGCAGTTTTCAACAGCAAATGTCAAACATTTCAATGATGGCGATTGTCGATTTGCTTTCCTCTCTGTAATTAGCCGATCGATAATTACCCCTTTTAATTTTCTCTTTTTCGAAAGCCAATGTTTATGATAATGTCTTTTATCATCAGTACAGAACGATGCAAATTTTCTACTGGACCATTGATAAAACGATAACGATAGAGGAATCCCGATATATTTTTCTCGATAAATCTACAGGAACGAGCGTGTGAGAATTTTCGACACTTGCGCGTGTATGCATACTCTTTTCGAAAGTCTCTCTAATTATTTTGATTACATGGAATAAAAGGCTTCAGCAGTATTCGTCTATTTAATTGGATTTATTTAATTCAAGCAGAATATCTATCAATATGTATCGTTTATGCATAATTTGTTCAATTTTTATGAATCGTGTATATGCATGCACTCGATGTTTTCTCATTTGTTCAGAATATTAAAATTCCCTTATTATATTTTTTA